ACGACCATTCCTGGTGGTGCTGGTGGTGCCAGGCACCTGCAGATATTTGGCTAAATTACATATTTTAATGATCACAATAACCAAAGAGGTGTGTTCCTATAGTGCAGATGGAAAAAGTGGGGCCAAGATCACAGGGTTCGTGAGTGAACAGTGAGGCGGGAAACACATGCCTGTCTGTCTGCACCCGATTCCTCTTCCCACCACACTCAGCACCACCTGACTGGCTGTCTTGCAGACTCTGGGGATAATTCATTCACAACACTCTTACCTGCTCACAATAAGAAGCCTGTTCACAGCACCCAGGCCAGATCAGCCATTGAGACATTTATACTAGAGATAGTGGGCCACCTGCTTTGCCAACAGATACACAAGAGCTCCTTGTGTTCCTGTCCACGTCAACTCGGCTCATCAAAAAACCCATCCCAGGGAAAATGAGCTTGCTGATAAACCAACTAAGCATAACAAGAAATACCAGCAAACTTTGAGGCACTTTACAAGGAAAGTCACACCCAAGTACTTGTTGGACCCAAGAAGACTCAGGTAGCAAGGCAGGGAGTAGCTCACAACAGCCACCCGAACAGTCACTTCTATTTAGTTCACGAAAATAATGGAAAACAAACTCGGTTTTCACAAGTGGTATGTTGTGTACACTGAGTCCACATCAGGTGTTCTTGAATTCTCTGATAAATAAAAACCACAAGCAATTGTGGCACCACCGGGCTGGAGGGAAGCACCGGCTTGCACCTGTCATTAGGAGCAGCCTGGGGCCTTATGGGGCAGACCCTTTTCCTGAACTAGTAGTGTTGCAGTGAACACCTTCCAGGTCCCCAGGGCTCGCTCCTCACCCTGAAAAGATTAAATCATTTATTTGCATAAGAAAATATCTAACCCAAATACAGGAGGCACAGGCGGGCACAGGGCGCTGTGGTTACAATACAAGCAACATCTGGACCTGCAAACTCATGATGCTGCTTCAAGAAGTGCGTGCAGGGAAGGTGGGTGGCTGGGGAGGCAGCCCAGCATCATCCCCAAAGTCTTTACTATTGCTCTCCCCTCTGATGAGTCACAATGCTCTTTGTTGGTGATGCTTGTAACATAACCCTCCTCTCCCCTCTTCAGCAACTGGCAACACCAAGGTGCTAAACTCTTTTTTTTTTTTTTTTTTTTGAGACAGAGTTTTGCTCTTGTTGCCCAGGGTGGAATGCCGTGGCGTGATCTCAGCTCACTGCAACCTTTGCCTCCCAGGTTCAGGTGATTCTTCTGCCTCAGTTCCCCGAGCAGCTGGGATTACAGGCACCTGCCACCACATCAGGCTAATTTTTATATTTTTAGTAGAGACGGGGTTTCGCCATGTTGGCCAGGCTGGTCTTGAACTCCTGACCTCAGGTGATCCACCCGCTTCCCAAAGTGCTGGATTACAGGCATAAGCCACCACGCCCAGCTGCCAATCTCTTTAAATGGCTTCAGCTGCCAAATCTCACCAGCAAGTTTGGGTCACTGATGCCTACCCCTCTTCTCCTACAGACCCTGCTCTTCTGGGTAATTTCCCCTGATTCCCTTAAAATGATACCAACACCCAAGAATTTCACCAAAGGGGGCAAGCACGGGACACAAACTTACCACTGCATCAAGGGCCCTTTGAGGCTAATGTGCCATATCCTTATAAAGCATCTCCCATCCCCACATGGTGTAAGAATAACCATACAATTCAGGCTTTCATAACAGGAGATGCAGGCAGTAGAGGGAGAGGCTTTGATGTTAGGACTTTAACTTACTGGCTTCCCGCAGGTGTTCCACGGCACAGCAGGGGAAACAGATTTTGTAGAAGAGGTCAAGGTGAGGATGGAGCCTCAACAGAATCTTCAAAACCAAAAGGCAAGTTGCAGTACCAGCCGACCTCCGCCATGCAGAGACCGCTGCAGACGCTGAAACACCCTCCTCACCGTCAGGCTGGCTTGTCCCCGGGCGTCCGAACAAGCCAACCTGACAGGATGGGTACTCAGTGGAGGACACTCTTTGAGAAGACTGAGATGGTGGGGAAACCCACTCTCCAGGGCTGGCTTCCCATGCAGCTATTTGAAGAAAGAGCTACCCTGGAGAACCTTAGTCACCGCTGCGGTTGTAGAGAAGACCGAGCACAGGAGTAGCTCCTCGCAGAGGAGGGACACAGACCACACTCCCAGCTTCTTGGTGACCTCCAAGGGAACCAGTTGGAACAGCAGCAAATGGGCTTTTCCTCTGGCTTTTGCTCACCTCGCTGTGCACCCAGCCCAGATACATTCCACACTTACTCATAGAGTAAAGCAAGCCAGGTATGAGGCAGTTACAAGCTAGCAGTTTTTTATGTGATTGATTCTATCTTCTCTGGAGATGCCCCAAGATTCTCTGGAAACAATTAGGGCTCAGTATTTCCTAGCCAAGGAGCAAACTTCCAGGAAATGAGCAAGTGAGCCTCCAATTGTATATGTAAATGTAAACTGTGTATGTAGATGTAAAAACAGCATGCACGCCCCTCCACCCCCAAGCCTTTTTCATTTCCAAGCTTTTCTCTAAATCACCAGGATCCACATACCTCCCACCCAGCTCCCATCCCCGCCCTCCTCCTCAGCCTTGGGCCCACATCTGTCTTCACAAAAGGCACCTCGCTGGCCTGCATCACAGAAAACATCCAAGCCCAAGGTACACAGGGTTTGTGTCTAAAGGGTTTTTATTGGAGAGCCTGTAGTGCTGAAGTGCCACCAAGGATTTGGAAGGTCACTCTCAGCAGCTGCCACTTCTACCAGGACCAGTGGCGAGCACCTGGCAGATGGAGCCCGGGTATTTCCGCGTAAGGCAGAGGAATCCAGCTTTTCCATGAGGTTCAGCTGCAGTGGTCGAAAACCCTGTATGAGCCAGCAGTTCCAGTTCAAAGGTTGAGGGGGCGAACAGCTGCGAGGTGGCTGGGCTCCCGTGAGTCACCACTCAGGCCTGAGTACACCGTGGAGAGGAGAGATAAAGCAGCCACGGCTGTTCTGTTGCCAGTCCCACCCCTCTGGCAAACAGATGGGGGAAAACAGAGAAGGAAAGTCAACAAAGAAGGTGAAATGCAGGGAGCAGAGACTACACGCAGGCCCCCCGTGGCTGGCAATGCCATGCGTGGTGGGCCGGCTGCGCCATCCTCACCCAGGGCTTCCCACGGGCTCTGCTCTTTCCTGCAGAGGCCAGACTGCCTTCCTGGCAGGTGGAGGCTGCCGAGCTCCCATGCCCCTTCCCACATATCCCCACTCTTCTCAGAAAACTGAAGAACCTGAAGATGGAGGTGAGTCAGGAAAGGCTGGAGTTTTCATCCAAAAAAAGAGAGCAGGACAATAAACAGGCAAATACATAAACCCTGGAGCAACGCCAGGAAAAAAGGGGGAAATAAAAAATAAAAAAATAAAAAACACATTTCTAGAGACAGCAAAATCCCAGGGTCCCGAAGGCACTGCTAATAGACTACTAGAAGCATCTTTGTTGCAGCCAATCACCTCTAGCCTGGGAACACCACTAGTCGGGAGGCCTCAATCAACCTGAGAAGTCAGCCCAAGGCCCTGTCTCCAGAAGCCAGCAGCAGATCTCTGGGTCACATCACCAGCAAGTCCTCACTTCACCAGCTCAGAGGTGAGCCACTCTTACCTGAACCTCTGCCTTCCCGCAGGGACCTCCTGGGTCCTGTGGGGCCTCCTGGGTCCAGGCGGGTTTCTAGTCCAGCCCAGTCTAGACTGACTTCAAATATAGTCCCCTGTCAGTGTGCTTTTTTCCAGCCAGCTGAATCACCGTTCATTTTTAAAATGGTTTTTAAAAATTACATTTCTAAGGCAAACAACGTAGAATTGTGACAGAGCAGAGGAACAACAAAAAAGCACAAAGAATGCTGCTAATCACAAGCTGCCTAGCACTTTCCTTTCCCTTCAGAGAAGAAGAAACTTTTATCACACATGTGCACATGAGCACAAGTGCACACAGTTTTTCCCTGATACTAGAAATTCTTTGTGAAGTAGCCATGCTGATTTCTGGCTGAACCTTTTTTTTAAGAAAGAAAGAGAAAGAAAGAAAAGAAG